CGACGAGGCTGCGGCCGGGTCGACGGCCTGCGTGCTGAATACGCCAGCCTCGGGGCGGGAAGACGGCATTGTTGCAGCGTCTCCAGAGCACCGCGTGAATACAAGAGAGGCGGAGACGGTGAATGCGGCCGAATACGATCGAATGCAGTGGAAGGCGTTGCGCTCTCGAGGGCTAGTTGGGAGACAGGAACACGTATTCTGCTTCTGGGGTCGGTGGCCTTCCTCTTCCCCCTGCGCTTGGGGGCGACCTTGGCGGTGGAGATGTCCACTGTCGGGGAGCCGTCCTCGTTGAAGAGGTACGGGTTCGGATAGCGCAGAAACTGCCGATCGGTGAGCGAGCGGATCCACAGCTTCTGCTCAGTCCACAGCCTGCATCATGAACACGCCAACGTCAGGGCGCGGGAGTACGGCCTTGCGCAGAGTCTTCAGAGCACCGCGTGAGCACGAGGGGGATACGAGCACAGCGAATGCGGACCGGAGTGCGGCCGAATGCAGCGGAGTACGTGTCCTCTCGAGCGCTGGCTGGAGTGAGACGTGAACACGTATTCCGCCTCTGGCACGGCGAGCCAGAAGATGGCGCACCCGCGCGCGAGATACGGGGAGATACGGGGAGATCTGGGGAGATCTGGGGAACATCTGCGCTTCTAAGACCGCGTGCGAGTCGTTTTTCTTTTTGCTTCTAGGACCGCGTGCGAGTCGTTTTTCGACTTGACCTCGACGAGCGCGCCGCGCAGCGTCCAGTCGTCCTCGATGGCAATCGTCCACTTCTTGGCGGCCAGCGCGTCCACCGCCCACTTGCCATCGGCGAGAGCCGCCCTCGCCTCGCCGGCGCGGACCGCGTGGAAGTCGTCGTTGCCGACGTAGCCGCACCTCGCACCGGAGATGTGGGTGAGATGTGGGGGAGATGTGGGGGAGATCTGGGGAGATATAGCCGCACCTCGCACCGGCACCGGTCGATATGGGTCGATATGGGTCGATATGGGGGAGATATGGGGGAGAGATGGGGAGATATGGGGGAGATATAGCCGCACCTCGCACCGGTCGCCGCGAGGTGCACCGCCATCGAGTAGCCGCCCACGCCGAACCGGTTCCTCTCGCTGCGCAGCTCGAGCGGCGTGCCATCCGCCAGCGCCGCCGCGCCCTCCGCGCACTCGAGCAGGCCCGTCTGCCGGAGGGGCACGCGCGCGGCGGTCGGGCCGTCGGCACACTCGACGAGCTCCCACTTCAGGTTCGTCGACGCGGAGCCGTCGCGCTGCACCTCCATGCCGCTCACGCGCACGCCGTCCGGCCGCACCGCCCGCACCATCGTGTTGTCTGGCATGCCTACCGCACCGCCCACGGGACTGAACCCACACTGGGTTCGGTACTCTGGAGGTATGGTGGGAGAACTTGTCGGGCATGCCCGCGAACACGCCCGTCGCCGCGAGGTGGAGCAGGATGCCTGTGGAGGAGGCGCAGAGGAGACGTGACCTGGCTGTCGACTCCGATCCCTGGCCTATCATCGCCGCCGAGT